TATAATAAAAATAGTTCTTCTGCACAAATAGACAACTATACTGGAAAACTTGGAATTACAGTTAAACATTGCCAAAACAAAGTGACAGAATTCACAGAGTCAATCCTGCTTAATTGCTTGCTTCCTAATGGGCTCTTCACCTCACCACATTTGATGGATGTCCGGGAGCGTTCCGGCTAGATGGGTAATTTGTTCATCCATTCTTCTTGCTCTTATTTTTCGCTATGGTGTTGATAAGTGAGAACGTAGCTCACAATAATTTTATGTGTGCGAATGTGTTGCGCCATCCCTTTAGTTTATCCCTTCTTTTTTACTGAAAAACTGTAGGTAAGTCCTGATAGTTAACGTCATTTAAATCCAGCTTATCTCGATGCTTAGGTACTATGCACGTACTGACCCGACCCTAACTTGTGATGCAACCAGGGTGAAAATTTCTGAAGAAAAGTTATTTAAGTACTCCTGGTGTGCTGCTGGAATAAACTGAAGGTACATGTTCAGATTTGTTCTCTTTCATGTGATGGAACCCTATCCTACGCGCATAGCAGTGATGAAACATAGCGTACTCTCACCCTTTTTTTCCAGATCGAGATGGTGGAGGCAGCCAGTGTCGTGGCCGTTTGCTGGGGAGCTTGCCGGCGTTGTGGTGGAGAAGGTTGGTTGCCTCCTCTCCCCACCAAGTCACTTTGGCCCATAGATCGAGTTCATGGTGGATAAGGAAGGTGTGGTCGATTTCACCAGGCTGGATCCGAAGGTCCCGAAGTCCTATGCCATGAACCGGCCACGGCGCATGCGGCCGGATGCACTTGCTCAACACCTTTCCATCTCTGTACAATCAGGTAAAGATTTCCTCACGTGCCAAATATCATTTTCAGGTTGCCAAATAGTAGGCTGGGAACTATAGAAAGTGGATTGCTGAGTTTGCCAAGCATAATAGCACACCTATTATCAGATGACCTGAAGAGTATATCAACCAAAGATGCTTTCAGATTTATGCATGCCTATATTAGGTTCCTATAAACTCCTATATTCTTTTCAATAGATTGCCACAATAGCTTCTTTAATGCACCAGGGAATCATCTTTTCTATATATCAGGTAAATAGCTATACACCAGTTTCATGGCAAGTGCCTTGATGTCTACATATAGCACTGTATGATACTACTACATCAATCGTTAAACTGCCCATACAAACATCGCTTAGAGCAGTAGTCTTCTCTGAATGAAATTATTATCTGTCCTTCTTGATAAAACTTATTCTGAATTTTAGATGGTCACACACTGTACATACATTGGCAGTGGAAGCTAATAGATCGACTGTTGAATTGCTCATACAAATTTCTCTAAGAATAGTGTTCTCTGAATGTAATTGTTATCCGTCCAACCGATCTTACAGGATTACAGTAGGAATCAATCCATAGGTTTGAGTTGATATTGGAAGAAGCACAAACATAACCGGACCCGGCTGAGCCGAAAGGTGTAAATTTTTGGCCGTCACTTTGTTCAGTTTTCCCTGTACCTGCACTTACTGTCTTCACCTCGAACCTACCTTCATACTTGCAGGAATGTAATAACACTTTGCATCAGGCTTGTGAGCAACTGTAAGTTGTTTTGCATGTGATACTACTTGGGGTAATGTTTGCTACCGGTCGACCGGCTACAGACTAGGCCGGTCGCGCGAGCAGCATACGATCGCTTGCAATCTCTCGCCTGCGGCTGTGCCACGTCTTCCTCCTTCCCTCCCCACGCGTCCCCTCGTGGGCCCTGCAAACCGCCTTGCAGTGTCTCCCTTATCGTTCCGCGCAGTCAACCCATCGCAATGTCTTCCTCCCCAAATCAGAGACACACCCTGCGGTGAGCGGCCGCCGTCCACCTGACCCGGACTGCTCCAACAAGTGGCTGCCATCCACTAGCCCCACACTGCTCTGGCGATCCAACCGGCCACCCATCCACCTGCGCGGCTGTGCGGCAACCCAGCTTGCTATGCCCGCTGCTCGAAGGTGTTACAACTACGCCGCCGTGGTACTTCAGTCAGCGGCGACTGTGCTACAATGGTGGCGAGCGGGTGGTGGCCAGGGGTGCGCGGCGGCGGTGACCGCGGCTGGCACCGAGTGCTGCAACCGACGAGCATTTTTGCTGGAACCTACCGGCGGAGAAGCTGGAAGCGGCAGGGCGATAAGCTGCAACCAATATCGGCGGCGAGTCGAACATGCTACAACCGACGTTTGTTTTTGCTGGGACCGGTGAGAATTTTTGCTCCCACCAGCGCACCATTGTTCGCTGATTCATGCCACTGTTTTTTGCGTTGGTAGATGCTACATGGGTGAACTGAAGATGTTTTCACTGTCGTCAATGGCTACACGAAGATGCAGGAGGCGGCGATGAAGATGTTTTGACGGTGGATGGAAAATGCTACAACCGGCTTCGTAATTTGGTACGAGCCATCTGAGGTCGTCGAAGAGATTTTGTGCTGGAACCGACGAGAGAGCGGGGGAGGAGGTCGGTCGGCGAGCGGCGGAGCTTTGAGCTCTCTGTCGCCTCGTGTGGGTTTGTGGTATTGGCGGCGCTCGATCACAGCTTTTTTTGTCTGCGGGAGGAGGACGAAACGAGAGCTAATCCGACGGCTACCAGGCGTAGAATCGCGAGGCTCGCGGTTGACCGGCCGAAATTTTCGGCCGGTTGACCGGCGCCTATGTGTCGCCTACTACTTGTGTGATTTTTTTTACCCACTGTTCAAGATATATTTCGATATTCCGATAAATCGGCCGATTTATCGCTTATGAGTGTCAGCCCGATAAAATAAATTGGCAGTGAATTAGGCGATATGGCGATAAATCGGCCGATATGCCGATAAACTGGCCGATTTATCCCTTATCATGGGTCGACCGATAAGTTGCCGATAAGCGATATCCCAAACATTGTTTTTACCTTAATAAACTTTCCTTCTTATTATATATCATATGGAATTCTTCAAACAGAGGAGAGCAACTCCATGAGTTGGCATACATTCAGTCATTTATGTTGATGCAACTCAACTAACAAAGAGTATTTAAGAAAAGACTACAGTTTGTAAAGCCAGTGGACAAATTAGTTCTGCACAGTCTGGCATTACCGGCGTGCATGCAGTAATTCATCAATGTTGGGGGTCAGTGATATGAACATCAAGCTTCACCTCTACCAGTGACATTAATTTGTTGTTTTTGTTTTATATCACATAATTTACCATTCTTCAGTTTTGCATATCGTATTTTGGTTCGTGAATTTGTATTTGGTTATTTCCGTAACCTTATTTCTAACATGCCTTCAACTATTGTTTATCGCACAAAAAGTCGAAATATGTGGAATAGAGAACTATTATGGGTAATAAGCGTTGTTTTCTCATGCAGACTATAAATTCTCTGTAATTCACGTGGTTTTGGAATTTGTCTAATGTGCAAAATATGTACAAGGCTTGTGAGCAGCCTTTTTTAGCCAAGTACTTGTATAATTTCTCTTCTAACTTAGCTATCAGCCTATCACGAAAGGCTTTGAGGATTAATCTTAACTAAATTTGTATACATGTAGTATTCTTCTGTTATGATTTAATCTTGCACCACGTTAGTCTTGCATCACATTAGACCCTGGGGTTGTACTTGCTGCAAATGTTGTAGGAACTCAACGGTTGTACTTGCTGAAAATTTCAATTAATCAACATGGGAGTAATGGTCTCATGATATAAGAGTGGACTTATTTATTCTGTTCAAATATGTTTAAGAGGGGATGAGAAAGTTTCTGCTTAGGTTTGCGTTGCAAGTGAAAGCTTAGTTTAGTAGCAAGGTTATAACGTGCGTTGCACGTGCAAGCTTACTAGTAGTACTTAAGTATACTTTTCAGCATCAATAGAAAAGCAGTAACCCAATATTCATCTCCATTACTAACACAAGAATGACCATATAAATATGTCCATTACAAAAAGCATACAGAAACTGTGCAGCACAGGTATGCATGCACGCACATACACACATACTCCCTCCATTCCAAATTACTCGTCGTGATTTTAGTTCAAATTTGGACGAGTAACAATTTGAACTAAAACCACGACGAGTAATTTGAAACGGAGGGAGTACATGTACTACCGTAGATGATGACAGTTATTACTCCGTGTCGCCGTCATTTATTTTACGAAGAAACTTTCACTCCCAACACTCGTACTTTTGTGTCGAGTGACTAATTAAAGCTTATGCAGTGATGGTGATGGCGGCCAATTAAGCACTAATGCTTCGACCACCGTCGACATAGATGACCTGCCCGGCGATGAAGGAAGTCGCCGGCATGCAGAGAAATGCGACCGTCGAGGCAACCTCTGCTGGCTTGCCACACCGTCGCAACGGGGTCTTCGAGTGCTCCCGCTCCATGTACTCCTTATTTATCTGTAAAGTATATCCACAAAGAACATTCGGGATGTCAGAAACATTTTTCCTCCTCGTGTAAAGTAAACTTATCACTTCCCCCAAAACTGTTAGAGCTTCCCTTAACCTTAAACCCTAAACTATCTCATTAAAAAGCTACTAAACCTGGTTTAAAATTAGTATGTTGTTGTTTAAACAAGCAAAACACCTACTAGTACTTTGAATAGGTTAGACTATATTGCTTACTTTTTCAACCATATCGGTTGTGATGAATCCTGGGGCGACACTGTTCACACGGATGTTGTGAGGGGCTCACTCGGTGGCTAAACTCCGCGTCAATTGGTTCAGTGCACCTACAAACACAATATATATTTTTAAAACTTGAAGTCGGTTAAATTAATTTTTTTTACTTAGACCTAACTAATATTATGAAATGTATTTTGGGAGGGAGTGACTAGTGAGTAGGTACCTCTTGTGATGGTATAGATTGTGGAGCCAGCGAAGCCAATGGAGCTTGCAATGGAGGAGATGTTGATGATGTTGCCTCCGACGGCCCGCACGAGAAGAGGGTGCGCGAGTTGGCAGAGATGGAAGCTGGAGCCCAGGTTGGTGGCCATCACATTCTTCTACTCCTCGTGCACTCAACGGTGGGCTTGACCAAATGTTGCCCTGCATTGTTCACCTACACACGCAGAGAGGACTAGGATTGGAACACTATCGATCGTACCTACTGTGCTTCGGATCCACCTTGCAGACCAGGGTTCCACTCCCATCGGAGCGAATTTCCACGATGTCATCCGGGTGGACTTCTTTTATAACAAACGAAAATGTTAAGTCCACACGCGTGGGCGTTTGCATCTCGCCCACACGCGTGGATCCGCGTCCGTTCATGAGCGCATGAATCTTGGCATATTTTTAGTACCACGTAGGACTGGTCTGGTGTGTGGGCATTTATCCGGTCGCCCACATGGCCGTTTCACCACATGGGAGGAGCCGATGTGTGGGCGTTCAGCAGTTCGCCCACACGTCACTTTCCACGCACGTACAAGGGCTAGTGTGTGGGCATTTGCCATCTCGCCCACACGTCCATCTCCTCTCCCACACCCAAGCTGCTAGTTGTCACATGCTTTACAGCACACATGGCAACTGCCCTAGTGTGCTTTATAAGCAGGTGACAACTCTCTTTTTACCCGAGTTGCCATGTGTTTTGCAGGGTATACGGTAACTGCCTAGTGTGCACGTAAGCAGATGACAACTCTCTCTTTACCGAGTTGCCATGTGTTTTTGCATGGTACATGGCAATCAATTGCCCTAACGTGCACGTAAGCAGATGGCAACTCTTCATTTTTACATGGCAACTGCCCTAGCATGCTTGTGAGCACATGGCAACTCTCTCAACTGCCTAGTGTTAGTATGTGACAACTCCTAAAATTTTGAAATCATGGCAACTACAGTAGACCAGACCATACATGGCAACTGCAGTTGAGCAACCATGGCAACTGCAGTTGTCCGACATGGCAACCGTAGTTCAGCGACATGGCAACTGCAGTTAAACGAACATGGACGAGGGTCTGGAACATGGGAACTGCGGGCGCGCGGTGACTGTCACGCGTGGCATGCGGGGCCAAGAGGTACGAGGCCTGACATACGGGGCGTGTGGGTGTTATCTACTTCGCCCACACGCACGCGTGTGAGATGGACTGGGAGGGAAAAAAGAGGTGTGTGGACATTACTTATTTTGCCCACACGTAGGTGTGTGGGCTATCCTCTTATACACCACACAAAATATGTGGGCAGTACCCCTAACGCCCACACGTGTTGCACTTAGCGGCGTCCATAACAAAATATGTTGCTAGTGCTCTTTGTTTACTTCGGACTCCCAGCTTGTCGCTGGCCCGAAGACTTGCACTAAATGTTCTACGGTGATTTTGTTTGAAAAATTGGCGTATTTTGTTTCCATATATACGAGCAGAACTTACTAGTACGTTGAGCTTGCCGTCGAAGGTTTGTCGGACCGTGTCCATGAGCTTCTCCCTGTCGGCGGGCACGGAGACGTCGCAAACGGAGACGGTGACGCGCATGCCCTTCTCCTGCCACCGCTGGCGGCACTCCTCCAGCTCCTCGGCGTTCCGTGAGCAGGTGTGCACCCTCGCCCCGAACCCGGCGAGCTCCTCCACGATGGCCTCCCCGATCCCTTTGCTCCCGCCGGTGACGAGCGCCGTGGCGCCGGCCAGGCTCCACCTCTCCTCTCTGCTCCCACACTCAGCTGTCGCCATCTCGAACCCCTAGCTCTGCCTGGAACTGCCTGTTGGTTGCTGGGGTTTGAAATACTACTGCGGCAAATGCCGCCACGGACAGACAGATCCATCACGACCATACTGGACTGCCAGCCACTGTAATCCCACATGTATGTTTATCATAGCAAGGTCAGGAAGGCTTTTAATTCCGACAAGGAATGCAGAGGATAGGATAGGCTGTGAGTTGTCCTCCGTCGCTTCTGGCCCATCATACGGCCGGTGAAACCACATGATCGAACAGTACTGCAACTTACTACAACCTCTAGCCTACGAAAATGAGTAGGGCATTTTGGAGAGCTCCTTGGAGCCCTTTATTTGAAAAAAAAATACACATGTATGCAAGGATGTAAAGTGTATGTGTGAAAATTTTTTAAGATGAAATACTTTGAATTCCGAGCTGCACAAAAAAAGCAAAATCATGGACTTTAAAGATGAACAGTACATATGCTAAAAGGCCCCATTTGTATTTTCTGTGTAGCTCACATTTTATTGTATTTCGACTTAAAAATTTGCACATATGTATATTATGTATCTAGCTATATGTGTATTTATTTTCAGAATTTTTTAAAACAAAAAAGTTTGAATTTTGAAGTTTTCAAATAAAAGGCCTTCATGGAGCTCGGTCTCCGTTTGGCATTTTCGCACGAAAATATCTTATATTTTAAGACGGAGGTAGTACTGTTTTGATCCTCTTCTTTTCTCTCACGTGTGATTGGCTTCACTGATCTAAGGCCAACTCTAACGCACGACCCAAGACGGACATCCGTTTCGTCCGCTTTTCATTCATTTGGAACAGGAAAATGGACATGGACGTCCGCTTGCGGTCGTGTGCCACCGTCCGTGTTTGTGGACTTTGGTTTTTTGCCCAGTAAAACCCAAATAAACTTGCAAATAATACGAAAACATAAATATAAACATGAACGTCCACACATCCACGGTACCCAAGTTCAACACAGTTCTTAATTAAACTAAAACTTAATAAAAGACATAAATAAACTAGATAAAGGCTCGTCGCTGGTGGCAACCGTCGTCTTCAGGAGTCGTCGTCCTACTCGTCGTCGTCGCTGGTGAGGTCGACATAGGGAGGTGGCTGCTAAATGTGGGATGGCGGCCCCTGCTAGACCGGAGGCGCAGGCGGCGCCTGCACCACCTCCTCCCGTGGCTCCTGCTCCTGCTCTAGTGACCGCGGCGGCATGGCTGACCTGATGGGTAACGTAGTAATTTTAAAATTTTCCTACGCACACGCAAGATCATGGTGATGCATAGCAACGAGAGGGGAGAGTGTTGTCCACGTACCCTCGTAGACCGTAAGCGGAAGCGTTAGCACAACGCGGTTGATGTAGTCGTACGTCTTCACGACCCGACCGATCAAGCACCGAAAGCACAACACTTCCGAGTTCTTGCACACGTTCAGCTCGATGACGTCCCTCGAACTCCGATCCAGCCGAGTGTCGAGGGAGAGTTCCGTCAGCACGACAGCGTGGTGACGATGATGATATTCTACAGACGCAGGGCTTCGCCTAAACACTGCTACGATATTATCGAGGTGGACTACGGTGGAGGGGGGCACCGCACACGGCTAAGAGATCCAAGGGATCAATTGTTGTGTCTATGGGATGCCCCCTGCCCCCGTATATAAAGGAGCAAAGGAGGAGGCGGCCGACCTAGGAGGAGGGCGAGCCAAGGGGGGAGTCCTACTCCCACCAGGAGTAGGACTCCTCCTTTCCTTGCTGGAGTAGGAGAGAAGGAAAGAGGAGGAGAGGGAGAAGGAAAAGGGGGCTGCACCCCTTGTCCAATTCGGACTAGAAGGGGGGGCAGGCCTCCTTCCTTTTGGCCTCTCTCCTCTATTCCCGTATGGCCCAATAAGGCCCATATACTCCCCGGCGAATTCCCGTAACTCTCCGGTACTCCGAAAAATACATGAATCACTCGGAACCTTTCCGAAGTCCGAATATAGTCGTCCAATATATCGATCTTTACATCTCGACCATTTTGAGACTCCTCGTCATGTCCTTGATCTCATCCGGGACTCCAAACTACCTTCGGTACATCAAAAACCATAAACTCATAATATAACCGCCATTAAATTTTAAGCGTGCGGACCCTACGGGTTCGAGAACTATGTAGACATGACCGAGACACGTCTCCGGTCAATAACCAATAGCGGAACCTGCATGCTTATATTGGCTCCCACATATTCTACGAAGATCTTTATCGGTCAAACCGCATAACAACATACGGTGTTCCCTTTGTCATCGGTATGTTACTTGCCTGAGATTTGATCGTCGGTATCTCAATACCTAGTTCAATCTCGTTACCGGCAAGTCTCTTTACTCGTTACATAATGCATCATCCCATTACTAACTCATTATCTACATTGCTTGCAAGGCTTATAGTGATGTGCATTACCGAGAGGGCCCAGAGATACCTCTCCGACAATCGGAGTGACAAATCATAATCTCGAAATACGCCAACTCAACATGTACCTTCGGAGACACCTGTAGAGCTCCTTTATAATCACCCAGTTACATTGTGACGTTTGGTAGCACACAAAGTGTTCCTCCTGTAAACGGAAGTTGCATAATCTCATAGTTATAGGAACATGTATAAGTCATGAAGAAAGCAATAGCAACATACTAAATGATCAAGTGCTAAGCTAACAGAATGGGTCAAGTCAATCACATCGTTCTCTAATGATGTGATCCCGTTAATCAAATGACAACTCATGTCTATGGCTAGGAAACTTAACCATCTTTGATTCAACGAGCTAGTCAAGTAGAGGCATACTAGTGACACTATGTTTGTCTATGTATTCACACATGTATTATGTTTCCGGTTAATACAATTCTAGCATGAATAATAAACATTTATCATGAAATAAGGAAATAAATAATAACTTTATTATTGCCACTAGGGTATATTTCCTTCAGTCTCCCACTTGTACTACAGTCAATAATCTAGTTCACATCGCCATGTGATTTAACACTAATATTCACATCTGCATGTGATTAACACTCATAGTTCACATCGTCATGTGACCAAAGCCCAAAGGGTTTACTAGAGTCAATAATCTAGTTCACATCGATATGTGATTAACACCCAAAGAGTACTAAGGTGTGATCATGTTTTGCTCGTGAGAGAAGTTTAGTCAACGGGTCTGTCACATTCAGAGCCGTATATATTTTGCAAATATTCTATGTCTACAATGCTCTGCATGGAGCTACTCTAGCTAATTGCTCCCACTTTCAATATGTATCCAGATTGAGACTTAGAGTCATCTGGATTGGTGTAAAAGCTTGCACCGATGTAACCTTTTACGATGAACTCTTTTATCACCTCCATAATCGAGAAACATTTTCTTAGTCCTTACTAAGGATATTTTTGACCGTTGTCCAGTGATCTACTCCTAGATCAAAATTGTACTCCCTTGCCAAACTCAGAGCAAGGTATACAATAGGTCTCGTACACAGCATAGCATACTTATAGAACCTATGACTAAGGCATAGGGAATGATTTTTCATTCTCTTTCTATTTTCTGCCATGGTCGGGTTTTGAGTCTTACTCAACTTCACACCTTGCAACACAAGCAAGAACTCCTTCTTTGACTGTTCCATTTTGAATTACTTCAAAATTTTATCAAGGTATGTACTCATTGAAAAATCTTATCAAGCGTCTTGATCTATCTCTATAGATCTTGATGCTCAATGTGTAAGCAGCTTTATCGAGGTCTTTCTTTGAAAATTCTCTTATTCAAGTATCCTTTTATGCTATCCAGAATTTCTATATCATTTCCAATCAACAATATGTCATCTACATATAGTTTTAGAAATGCTACAGAGCTCCCACTCACTTTCTTGTAAATACAGGTCTTTATCCAAAAGTCTGTATAAAACCATATGCTTTGATCAACTCATCAAAGCGTATATTCCAACTCCGAGATGCTTTCACCAGCCCATAGATGGATCGCTCGAGTTTGCACATTTTGTTAGCACCTTTAGGATTGACAAAACCTTTTGGTTGCATCATATACAACTCTTTTTTAATAAATCCATTAAGGAATCCATTTGCCAGATTTCATAAAATGTGGCAATTGCTAACATGATTCGGACAGACTTAAGCATCGATACAAGTGAGAAAATCTCATCGTATTCAACACCTTGAACTTGTTGAAAAACTTTTTGCGACAAGTCAAGCTTTTTAGATAGTAACACTACTATCAGCGTCTATCTTCCTCTTGAAGATCCATTTATACAATATGGCTTGCTGATCATCGGGCAACTCCACCAAAGTCCACACTTTGTTCTCATACATGGATCTCATCTCAGATTTCATGGCCTCAAGCCATTTCGCGGAATCTGGGCTCATCATCGCTTCCTCATAGTTCGTAGGTTTATCATGGTCTAGTAACATGACTTCTAGAATAGGATTACCTTACCACACTAGTGCGGACCGTACTCTGAAAGACCTACGAGGTTCTGTAGTAACTTGATCTGAAGTTTCAAGATCATCATCATTAGCTTCCTCACTAATTGGTGTAGCAATCACTAGAACTGATTTCTGTGATGAACTAATTTCCAATTCGGGAGAACGTACAATTACTTCATCAAGTTCTGCTTTCCTCCCACTCACTTCTTTCAAGAGAAACTCCTTCTCTAGAAAGGATCCATTTTTAGCAACGAATATTTTTCCTTTGGATCTGTGATTAGAAGATGTACCCAGCAGTCTCCTTTGGGTATCCTATGAAGACGCATTTCTCCGATTTGGGTTCGAACTTATCAGGTTGAAACTTTTTTACATAAGCATCGCAACTCCAAACTTTAAGAAACGACATCTTAGGTTTATTATTAAACCGTAGTTCATACGGTGTCGTCTCAATGGATTTAGATGATGCCCTATTTTAACGTGAATGCAGCTATCTCTAATGCATAACCCCAAAACGATATTGGTAAATCGGTAAGAGACATCATTGATCGCACCAT